AACCAATTTTTCCATAAAAAAACTCCTCATGTTTAAAAGATTAGCGTTTTTGGATTTCTTTCCAATATCGAGCACAGTTTTATACAACTATTCACAAAATGTTTAGTACTTTTTCCACTATAATTTTAATCATCATTATGCATTGTTGTTGTTGGTATGAATGTTTTTATGGTAATAATAGTTGACTACTTCACATGTCCATTTCCAAATAATTATAAATTCTGAACCGAAATCCAACCTAAACTTCAAAGTTTGTAAAACGGGCTACTTCAAATGTTATGGAAACTAGTTTGAGATTTTGCAGGATAACTATCCATTACCTATGGACCGCAACTTTACGAAGTGTAAATGATTTTATCTTGAATTTTTTTCTTTCTAAAATGTAAATATTTCATATAAATAAAAACGTTTTGGGTTTACAAAGCGGATTTATAAATCTATGTAATGGTTCAATGGCAAGAAAAAATAAAAACATGGAAGCATAATTCGTTAAGGTTTTTAGTCCGTCCACTCAATATAAGTACCAATTCAAATGGAGTTAGACGAAGTGATGACTTTGTGTTCGTTGTCCCCAAATCCGTTGGATGAGATGTAGATGCAAAAGCAAAATCGCATAAGCCGGTGATACTAAAACCCGTAGCGCTAAAAGTCTTCCAGAGGAGGCCCTCGATTGAGTCGTCAACAACATCCTCCAACCTCTCAAATCACGTACTCCTCTCGCGTCACATAAGAGTGACTTGATGAACAATTCCATGAGTTAAGACAAAGAAGGAACCTTACAAACCAACAAGATTGTTCGGTTATAGCTCACCCTACCAAGTTCAACTTGAAGTCGACTAGTACAAAGCAAAAATAATCCACTAAAACCAACGAAACACAATTAGTTTTACTAGCCCTCTAGTGCACAAGTCTTAAGCAACCAAACCCAAATGTAAAATGAGCAAGACTACATCACAAAGCAACATCAGCGGTGAGACACAAGCAACAACTGGGCCTAAAGCAAATCCTCATGACTACATTGAGACGGTAAGATGGCCACCACCGATCGCTGAACCATAACAAATGATACATCACCGTACGTCCGTGAATGGAGATTGGAGGCTTCACTTAAACATTTTCTCACACCCGAGACGCCACAATGATCGCATTCGAGGAGACTCTGCAGCTGTCCACCCGTATAATAACCAACAGAAAAGGCAACCATTTCATCAAAAATGTCAAGAGGAAAAGTCCAGAACACACCAAACAAGAGCATTGCCTTGAAACCAAATCCAAGAGGGCGAAGACAAGGAGATTGAAGCTCCACAAGCGATTGAGACATCACACCAACCAATGGAGATCTCACAAAGTCAAAAACCCGAAAAGATAACCATATACTTACTGGTGAGGACAGTGGCGTCATTCATCAGGAGCGGAAGCCGTCCTCGAGCGGAAGCCAT